AAATAACAACTAAGGAACCTTTAGAAATGTTTAGTAATGACAATCTACAAATATATAATTATAGATAATTGCCGGCTTTTTATTCTTTGCATATCTTATTTTTCTTTTCTTCCCCAGTCTTCTGTCAGTGGCCATTTTAACGAATGGCAGGTTACTAGATCTCCCTTTACTTCATGGAACTCTGGCACATGTGACTAGACATGTGGCCATGCACATCATCTCAGTGGAGGAAAATGCCTTTCCCTGAGATCTCATGGGATTACAGATGAGATTTCCCAGAAATGCTCTGCTGATGTAACCTTTCCAGGATGCAAAGATTGAGCATATTACATCATTTGTGCCAAAATGGACCAGCAAGTGGATAAACTCTCTTTGTAGGTAATGCTGATACAAGTGGTGGGACACAGGGAGTTGACCCCTCGATCAGGAGTCCAGGTTAGTGAAGCACCCTTCTTTTAGTTTTTTTTCTTTAACGTGTCATTTATTTCTGAAGTTTTATTTTTTTTGCACTTTGTACAATATATAAAAAATACAGGGTAGCAAAAAAAAAAAGGAATTCACAGTGTCTAAGGGCTTGTTCACACCAATTGTGATGCATTCCAGAGCGGTAGCTGCTGGAATGCACCGCAATCACTCAGAAAACTTCCCCCTGCGTTCTGAGGCGGGAGGGAGCATGGTGGTGCATTTAATTCAATGGCACTGCTTGTGCACACACACACGCTCGCCCGTGCCCGCATTGCGATCGAGTGCGTGGCAAAACATTGCCTGTGTTCCTTTCTATTTTTTGCAAACGCAAAAAATAGAGCAAGTAGCATTTTTTGAGTTTGCAGTGGAACAGAACGCAGGCAATGTTTTGTAGCTGCAGTGCCATTGACTTCATGCACCGCCACGCCCCCTCCCACCCCAGAACGCAGGGGGAAGTTTTCTGAGAGATTGTGGTGCGTTCCAGCAGCTACTGCTCTGGAACGCACCGTAATTGGTGTGAACAAGCCCTAAGGGCCCAGTCCCACCATAAGGAGTGCGCTCGGCCTCTGGAACGCAACCCAACCTACTCACTTTGTTTTGGGAAGGGGCGTGGCAGTGCATTGAACTCAATGGCACCGCAGCCACGCCCCCCGCCCGCAGTGCAATCGCCGGCACCCAAACGTGTGACACATTAGTGCATGCATTCCGGTCCTGTGCGATCTGCAAAAATGCTGCAAGCACTATTTTGTGCAGATTGCACTGGACCGGAA